AAATCTTTGTCCTTCCACTTATAGATCAACTGTACAATGCTGGAGTATTCCTGGTGTAATCTCCTTATTGCCTGAAATCCTTTAAAAAGATCTGCCAAGTTGTGACCAGCTTCAGCCTACTTCTTTGCAGTCATTCTTATCCTCGCAATGAATAATCCTACTTCTTCTGTAGCCTATATCTAATACTAAACAATTCATCCAGTAACTGAATTATCCTTGCTCTTGTTTTGGGTTCGAATTGCTTCTGGGGAACTTCCCATGCTTCTTTACCACTTGAACATTCTTGGATCAGTGGCTTGAACTCAGTTTTAATTCCATAATGTAATGTAGTGAAGGCTGTATTCTCTCTCAGTGTGAATTCCTGCTTTTCACCCGTTGTTGCACTTTTATCTAATTCTTCTTCTTTGTCCTCTGTGAAGTTCCAACAATTTCTATCCAGGAATAGCATTTTCTTGTTGACTTTTCATCAATCCCAGTTGTCATGGTTTAACAGGATATAACCTTCAGGTAGTAATGACATCTTCAATTAAGTGTGAGCACAACAACTTGAACAAACTTCTAAGGCAGGTCAGCTTCTTTTCGTGGATAATGGCCCTCCTCACTATATTCCTTCAATGCTGAGTTGAACTGGATGACTGATTAGTTATTGGCGCTGGACCCATAACTTGTTGGCAGTGGAGATAAAGGCAAAGCGTATTTTGCTTCCCTTAAATAAAGTTAAGACAAATCTAAATAAAATTCATGCTTTATTCCGTAAATTAAAGTAAAATAGCTAACACTGTAGCCTTTACATTTAAAATCATCTGAGTGAAAGAATACCAGCATTATGCTAAATCATAATAACCACACGTTCGCCGATACTGGCGTATATATATATATATATATATTTATACTCGGCCAACACGCTGATCTTGACGTCATCGGCCAATCAGCGGCAACCACGTTAGCTTACCGCCGATTGACCTCCAATCAAAATTTGCATGAGGAAAACTAAAGCCAATAAGCTCATTACTTCTAATAAATTTTTGTGTGAAAAAAAGGATTGAAACTTTACTGCGTATTCAGTTTGAAAGTGAATGAATAATATCTGCAGCTGCAGATAAATCAACAGTTTAAAGAAGTGTTTCCAAACATACTTGTTGCTATACCGCAATGTTAGTTGATTACTTTTATAAAGGTTTGATTAATAATTCATATTTTGAAGAGCTTTTTTGTGTTGTCAAACTAGTTTTATCACAGTAGAAAGTGGTTTTTCAGTTAATAATAATATATTGATGGAAAAGTTTCTTCAATTGACTCGCAAATTGCAGAATTAAAACAAGTTTTGGCTAATTTTTTATTAGAATTCTTTATATTAGTATTTTGTTTCAGCATTCGAAATGTCTTTTTCTTTTATTTGTGTGTCAGTTTTTTAATTTATTGTCTTTAATTTTAAGAAGTTTAATTTGTATTAAACAGGCTTTTATTGAAAATTTTTCATCAAAAGTCTGCTGACTTCCTTTTAAAAAAAGAAAAGCTTTCTTGACCTTTTAGAATTTAGCAACTGTACAGTGGTACTGTGATATTGGCTGTACCGCTAATATTGCTGATATTACAGTATAAACAGTTCAGTAATTATATATTATTTAATGAAATAGATAACTGCTCTCTCATTGCCATTTTGTAAACAATAAAGTTGTGTCATTTATAATTTTTACACAGTTAATGGTGGGGAAAATCCAGTGTTTAAAAGTTTATACATCACTCTGAAAAGTCTGCAAAATTCATTTTTGATTTGTTTATTACTTAAATAGAAGGTATTGTAAGTATTTCATTTGTTTTGTAAATGTATGCTTTTATTCATGTAAAATTAATTTTTAAGTTATAATTTTAACTAATTATATTTGTGCTGACATTTTACAAGTGCTTTTCAGTGTCAGTGACTACAAATATTTCAGGTGGACTAGCAATCACTCCTGGTATTATATACTCTTTTCATGTAATTAAAAAGGGAATTTATTTGGGCTTGACTAATTTTTTGATACATTTGCTTGCTGAAGGGAATGTTGGTGTTTAGTTGAATCTTGATTTGAAAATTATTGAGGAGAACTATTATTATAATTTTAATAGTAATGTTTGGGGGATTCAAAAGTAATGTTTTTAATGCAATTCATATACAATTTGCAAATTTTTGTGCTTTCAAGTGTTACCATAATTAATTTACCTTCAGCGCAGCCAGTGTCCCCTGCACGGATAGACAAGAATTTTATTAAACACACCTGGAAAAGTGGGGGAATTTCATTCTAATGCTTGAGGGAACCCTGTTGTTATAAATGAAGATGATATAATGGAAATTTTTCGTTGCAGCGGCAATGCCACAGCCATCATTCATTTAACAGACTCTGAAATCTGTGGTGCTTTTCTAAATCCAGAAAATATTGATAATGATAGTGAAAAAATGGACAGAGAGGATATGAACTAAATAATATTGATTGACAGCTTAGTGAAAATTCTTGATATGGCAATTACAGGAACATTGGAACGTTATAACTGTATTAGAAATGATGAAATCTGTAGAGGTAAAGAGAAAATATTAGCACAAAAAATGAAGCAACTTAATCAACTTGCGTTGAAAGAAATGTATAATACAGCAAACAAATAAATATTGAGGTGTGTTTCATAGATTGTAATTCCCTTAAGATGAGAAATGATTCATTATTTCATAAACCACCATTTGATATTTATAATTTTGTAATTTCTACATTTAAAATGATAACCTGACATTTGAAAAAACCCTTAAAGTCCCAATGAGTCCATATCTCATATCATATTTTACAGTGTGATCATGTAAAATATACAGTACATATTTACATGATCTTCAAAAATTGTGTAAATTTCAAAACGGATATTGATGGGAAATTGGTTCAATGTATGACACCCCATTACTGTTTCAATTAACATAATGTATGAAATTTCTGGTGCAGTTTATGATTTTAGCTTTAAAAATTGCTTTTTTTAGTACAAGATGATGAGGTCTTCCCCATCGGAATTAGTTTCTATCACTGAGCATTACTTTGGGCCATATTCTTATGGAAAAGATGTTGAAGCCATTTAAAGAGACTTCCTAATGTTTGTGAACCTAACAAGATGAAGATTTTGCGCTTGCTAACCTGATTTCTAGAAACTGAAAAGCAGTCAGCATAAGAAATGAAGTGGCCATATCTATTCTGAGTTCAGAAAAAGTCAGTAATCTAAGAAAGATGGTATTACAATAAAAGTTGTGTAGCGACGTAAAGCTGAATGATGAAAATTCGTTCTACATGGGCAAAACGCAACACCGTCTTGCAGCAAACAAACGGTTTTTAAATCTAACACCATTAACTGCAACTGAAATTTCGAGTGCTATACAGTATAAAGTCCTTAATCTGGACTCGTCTTGGTGATTCCGGATTAGGGTTTTTTTCCAGATTATAGATCATCAATTCAAATCTGGTAAGATGGCATGCAGAAATTATAAAATAAAAAATCTGAACCGTAATTTATGAAATAAAGAGCAATTATGATCTAAAGGGTATCAAAATTTACAAAAAAAAAATAGCTTAATATTTATTTGTTTACTTTATTAAACATTTCTTTCAACGTAAGTTGTTTAGTTTTATGTGCTAATACTTTCTCTTTAATTCTATAAAGACATAATTTCTTGTTCAGTTACAAAGTTCCGCTGTTCAAGTCTTGTAATTGCTGTGCCGAGAATGCCGACTAACTTGTCAATTGAAATTGTTTCATTTTCACTAACCTCTCTGTCACTTTCTTCATGCCTTTATCCATTTTTTGCAGCAATTCCACTTTTTGTTTGATGGACATTGAAACATGCTTTCGCTTTGTAGATCCTTTGGCAGCTCCAGAATCGGAAACTCTTTTTGACATAATCGAAAGTTCAAGCTTACTTTTTATAAAATTGCTCTAACAGTCTACAAAAAACAATAAGCCGGATCCAATTAGGAGATAAAGGAACAACGCAATCTGCAACATTAAATGAGATAATTAGATAATTTTAGCCTAGCTTATACCGTCTGTTATACATTAAACATAAATGCTACGCATGCGCAGAAAGTTTGTAGCTTTGAGGTCCGGATTATAGATCATTCCAGATTATGGATGTCCAGATTAAAGACTTTGTACTGTATATATTTATAGCAACAGTATAGGGTGTCATTCATTGAAATAATTTGCCATTACCCATGTTGAAATTTCCCCGGTTTTTGAGATTTAGACATGCACAAGTTGCGAATCACCTGTGTTAAGTTAAAAAGTGAGAAGAATGGCAAAATTTTCCCTGGAATTGATTTTGAAGTTTCTAAAATGTTATCAGTAAGCAGAGACTTCAAACAATTGAAACATATATATTTTTATCAATCCATTGCATCTTACTGCATTGTTACTCTTCACTTTATTTTATGGAAATGCTAAAACTAAAAAATTCCATTGAGAAATTGTGTAGAATGTGCAAAAAATGATAGAAAGAGGAAATTGCGTCACTAGTGCTACATCTACAGTGTTGGAATATGCAGGGTTCAAAAAATAGCATACGGAGTATTGTTAAATGTTGTATTTTAAATCTAGTAATGACTGTTGTGTGTACCTTTGTAATGAAATTAAGAGATGTGTATTTCATTGTGGAATGGAAAATGAGCTTATTAAAAAATTTAAAATATCCTTATTTTTCTTTAAAAAGCATCCTAAAAACTTTCATATGAATAAGATAAAGTTATTTGCAGCTAGCTGTTCATGAGCAACATAAACCCTTTTTGTTGGGATGTTTGGTTCAGATGAGAGTATCATCATAAAGGATTTCATAATCAAAGTGCTTTGATTTCCAGTAAGAACATAACTTTAATGGTGCGGTGCTTTTATTTATTGAGTGTATAAAGTAACTATTTTCATAACAGTCTCTTGGAGAGTATTTGTTATATCTATTGACTTAGGTTATTGCTTTATTTAAGAAATTTTTCATTTTGTAGTTAAAGACCCTGCGTCTACCTCAATCAATGATGACGACTCTGATGTAGTTGTTTTGGAGAGATCTGAAAGTGAAGAAGAGAGAGCTGTCTCTTCATCACCATCTTACACTGATGACCTTCCTGTGTTTATAGATGACAATACAGATAGTTCAAATACCTATGAATTTGGAGGTCCAATTTTCACTTCCTCACCACCTTACAGAAAACGCTTTCCTGTGTTTATAGCTAAGAATATAAATGCTTCACCTTCTCACGGAACAGAAAATCCAGCTGTTACTTCATCACCACCTTACACAAAAGACCTTCCTGTGTGTATAGATGAGAATACAGATGGTTCGCCTTCTTACAGAACAGGAAGTCCAGCTGTCATTTCATCACCACCTTACACAGAAGGCTCTCCTGTGTTTATAGATGAGAATACAGATGGTTCACCTTCTTACAGAACAGGAAGTCCAGCTGTCATTTCATCACCACCTTACACAGAAGGCTCTCCTGTGTTTATAGATGAGAATACAGATGGTTTACCTTCTTACAGAACAGGAAGTCCAGCTGTCAGTTCATCACCACCTTATACTGAAGAGCATACAGTGTGTGGTGATATTATTGTTGCACCTCGACAAGTGTTTTCAGATGAGTACCGGGCGGAAGAGGGGAAATTTTCCGGAGAAAGGTAAATTGGATATTTGATGTTAATGATATAAATTCAAATATTTATGGATATATTTGATGTTTCATTTGTAATTAGAAAATGCAGTATGAATGTATGTATACATTTATTTCATAGTGAAAAGGACAAATCAGTTAACTCTGTTTTAAAACGTGGAGAAGAATATAAGGGAAGCCCTGTTATTTACAGTGAAGAGGAGGAGGGCAAGATTTCATCTGATGAAATGTAAGTGGAATGTTTAATATCATCAATTTTTAAAATATATGTAAATATATTTGTAAAAAGTCCAAGATCCGGACACGTGGGGGACTTCTGTGATTCCGGTTTTGAGATTTTTCTTGATATTAGATCATCAGTTTAAATCTAGTAAGATGGCATGTAGAAATTTGAAAATTAAAAATATGAAATCCTGATTTATGAAATGAGGAAGCATTTACAATCTAAAGTGTGTCAACATGTACCAAAAAAAAAAAAAAAAAAAAGGGCTTAAAATTTATTTGGTTTCTTTACTAAACATTTCTTTCTATGTAAGTTGTTTAAGTTGTTTCATTTTTGTGCTAATACTTCCTCTTTAATTCTATAGAAAGATATAATTTCTTGTTCAGTTACAAAGTTCTATCTTGTTAAAGTCCTGTAATTGCTGTGTCAAGAATTCTGATAAACTAGTCAGCTGAATTTTTTTTGCTTTCAGTACCTCTCTGTCATTTTCTCATTATTGGTAGCGATATTTTCTGGATCTAGAACTTCATCACCACCTTACAGATTTCACTTTCTGTTAACTGATTGGGGCATCATCATCCCAATGAGAAACTTGTGTTACATCAGTCTTATTTATTACTGCTTCTCCAGATTTCTTTAATTGGAAAGTTTCACCTTTGGCTTGCAATATCTGAGAACGTTCAAATTCACAGCTATCATCTTCATCATCCTCACCACGAAATGTGGTAACTGGCTATAAATTATGCCAAGCATTCTTGAAAATATCTGGATATGTGTCCTCCTATGATCTGATGCTCCACACAGCAGATTTTAGGCTAAAATATTTCAAAAATTCATGAATAGTCTTGTTATTATTCAAAAAAATTAACATGGATTCTAAAAATGCTCCTTTATATTTGCATTTCAGCATATGCATTATTCTGATATCCATACGCTGAATGATGGATGTACAATTTGGAGAAAAGAATAATACAGATATATTATCTTTCACTAAACTTTAAGTGGAGTATGAGCCGAACAGTTGTCTACAATCAGGACAATTTTTGTATCGTCAAATAAACCGAAGAAATGGAAATGCTGCTGCCCCTCTATGAAATGGTTTTCAAACTGGTCATTCATTAACGCTTGTGTCATCCATGCTGTTCTATTTTCTGGATATATAACAGGGAAATTCTTCACTCCTTTATATGTTCGAGGTCGTGTATTTTTTCCATTTATGAAATGTTTACACTTGTGTGTTCCTGCAGCATTTGTGCATACTAAAATTGTTAGTCTCGCTTTGGCACTTTTGACACCAGTTGGAGCCTCTTCTGTAGATGCTGCTAAGCTATTTTGTGGTACATATTGCCAGAAAAGACCAATTTCATCAGCGTTGTAAATTTCTTGAGATAACTTTTCACCATTACAGAGTTCAGAGAGTTCCTCTGCAAATAATTCAGCAGCTTCGGTATAAGCTGAAGGTTTTTCACCAGAAATTTTTAATTGCCTTATACTGTGGTGATTTTTAAATTCGGTTAACCAACCTGTCACATATGTGCACTCCGTTTTGAACTACATTTCTTCATGAAATATTTTAGCTTCAGCCATTAGCACTGTATCTGCCAATGTGCTCTCTGTGACGCTGTCTGACCCATTCAGTCATCACTTCTTACATAACGAATAATTTTTCTGTTGATCATTTAGAGTGAGGTGTCAGAATCAGAAAAAATTCCTTTTTCTATTTTCTTATGCCATATACAGTTGACTTTCCAATGCCATACTCTTCGGATAATTTTGAGATGGATATTATACCTTTATCCGTTATTGTAGCAATTCCACTTTTTATTTAATGGACATAGAAACATGTTTTTGCTTTGTAAATCGCTTTCCAGCTCCAAAATTAGAAACTTTTTGACATAATTGAAATTCAAACTTTAATTTTCATAAAATTGGTGTAACAATAACAGCCTGCAAAAAATAATAGGCTGGATTGAATCAGAAAGTTAAGGAACAGGGCAACCTGCTATATTAACTGAAATTTTTTAGAATCAGTAACGTGTAATTTTAGCCTAGCTGAAAATAATGTCCGCTATACATTTATTAATTATGTGTCGTGGGATTGGTGACGAAAGACAAGTTCTTTCGCTAAATTATGTTCTTTTTTATACTTATGCCTATTTTTTGCACATCTTTAAGGCTTATCTGAGTACTGAGTAAATAAATTCGCACATATATTTAAGGCTTTTTGAGGGCCGGTGCTAGATACCTTATTACCGCCTGATGCATTCTCTGGGGGTTCTAAATTCTGCCACCAAACATCTTCCTGAGTTCTAAATTTTGGGTCTCTCTGCTTTCCTTAAATTGTAAAAATTTTGCCATCCCTAATTTTGCTGCTCGGTGCTTCTCTAAATTCCAAAAATTTTGTCTCCTAAATTCTGCCGCCAGTGCAACTTTATAAGTTTTAGTGTAGTTCTGGGTTTATGTGAATAACATCATTTATTCTTAATTAAAATAACACTTTTAGTCTACGAGTATCATTAACAAAATCTGTTTTTACCATATGGAAAGAAATTTTTGTTAAATTTTCCCTTGTCAATATTTCTGAGTACATTTAACTTAAATTTGTATTGATTGGCAATCATAATGCCAACATAAAAGGTTACCGTACTTTTTGCTATTCAGTTACTAATATAAAAAAATTATTTAGGCATTGCTGTATGAGTCATTACTGAAGTTATCATGTGTCGGTAAACATGCGATGATGAAAGCAAAATACATAGACTCCAACTACTACGGATTCTCCGTAGTTTCTACGGAAATTCATGAAAAACTACGAGCTACGAAAAGTATGGAAAAAAAAACTACGGATTTTACAGAAAAAACAGAGCAGGAGAACCAGTACGCAAAAACGGAACCAACTAATTCATCCGATGATTGGCTGAATACTCGTGTCATCATATATCACGTGTTGAGTGCGTTCCTAGTTTTTGAAGAATAGCCAGTCGTAGATCAGTAACTTCAACCGTTAATGGTTTGTCAATAGTTACCCCACAACATATCTCTACCAAAGAATTTGTATTGTACATAGACATTCTATGTCTCTACTTTATCTGTCTCCCAGGTTCCTTCGCTGATACGTGTTTAAGGCTACATTCGGCTGCATTGTTGTAGATTACGGAGAGAGCTTAGCGTGTGTCTTGTGAACTGTGAATCAAGTGAAAGTTTTTTTAATTTAATAATGCTACCTCGAACGAAGAAGCCAAAATTATCAAAGCAGAAGTTTAAAGATTCATATTCTTCAGAATTTCCATGCATTAAAGCGTCCGAAATTTTTCTGTGAATCACGCACACTGCAGTGTATGCAACAAAAGACTTCTCAGTTGCTCATGGCGGAAAAAGATGACTGTAAACGGCATGTGTTTCTCAAAAGCATATAGAACTTGGCACTGTAAAATCTAAAGAAATAACAAATTTCTTAAAAAAAGATGATGAAACAGATCCTATAAAAGCCGAATGCTATTTTGGTTTGTTTTTTAATTGAACATAATCTAACCGCTTTCTGTTTCGGATCATTCCAAGGAGCTTTTCAAAGCAATGTTTCCGGATTCTGCCATAGCAAAAAAAATTTAGCTGCGGTCATACCAAAAACTGCTGCTATTGTGAAAACGCTTGCAGAAAATACTGTTGCTGATATTATAAAAATCAGTGTTGCAGTACAATCATTTTCTCTAAGTACTGATGGAAGTAATGATAACAATGATAACAAACTGTACCCATTGGTTATAACATACTACAGTAAAGAAAAGAGAGTGATAATTACTTCATTGATTTCTATTTTAGAATGCACGAATAATACAGGAGAAGGTATTTTTAATTGTATAAATGAAAACTTTAAAAACACAGGTTTAGAATGGAAAAATTGCTTATCATTTTCTTCAGATAATGCTAGTAATATGATTGGAAAGTTTAAAGGTTATCATTTATCAAAATGCATCAACCAAGTATAATCACCCGAGGTTGTCCGTGCCACCTCTTGCATATAGCTGCAAAAAAAAAAAGCTACTGAAAAATTAATTGGCTCAGAAATTGAAATGTTGATAATAAGATATATATTTTTACTTGGAGAAAAAGTTCGAAACGGAAGCATAGCTCAAAGTTGCTCAAACAAATTTTGGGACAGAACAGAATGCAAATCTCATAAAATTTTGAAATATTGCAGTACGAGATGGTGTCTCTTTTAGAATCTATAACAAGGATTTTGGAACAGTGGGATGCTGTGATAAATTTTTTTGGAGATAAACCAGATAACAGTGAGAATGAAAGGAAAGAGATTGCAAAACATTTAAAAAAATTTTACAGTCACCGACCACCAAATTGTACTTGTTATTTTGAAAAATACTTTGCCTTTGTTTATAACAGTAAAATATAATTTGCAACAACAAGCTCCTTATATACATAAATTGAGAAGAGAACTTGTTGAACTTTTAATGATTTATTTGTTAGATTCATAAAACCATCAGTAATTTCTAAGGAAAGTGAAAATTTTACTCTAACATCTATTCCATTTCAGAAGAAGTAAACAAAAAGAAAATGAAAATTTAGTGATTGGTGCGGAAAAAAAGAATATATTTAAAAAATGCCAAGTTTAAATGAAAGGGAAGTGAAATCATTTTTCAAGTCTCTGCGAGCTTTTTTAACTGCATGCTCATAGATATAATAGAAAAATTTCCACTAAGTAATCCATTTCTAAAACATGCTGAAGTTGCTGACATCAACTTGTGAACTGAAGTTTAATTTTCATCTGTTCTTGATAAATATTTTTCCATCCATTATTGATGAAAAATATCTTAATCAAGTGTAAATTGAATTCCATGTATCAAGTAGATGATTGAAAGAAATTGTAGATTTGCGTATTGATTAGCAGGGGAGAAATTGCCAAATTAAAAAATATGATGGGTGTATTAAATACAAAGTATTGCCTTCTGTAATGCTGCTGTCTTAATAATACCTCATTCAAATGCAGCTTG